ACCTGGCTCTAATGACTCAAAAGGAGTGAATGCTATGGAGGATAGATGAACGGTTATGTAATGTCGGGTGGAAACTAAAGGTGGTGCCAAAAATCAGAGTGTTTCTAGTGGAGAGTGACTAAAGGAATTCTACCAAATGCTCATTGCATAGATGACATATTCATGATAGATGTCAATGCAAGCTTTGGTTGGCAATGGACGAGCATCTGATGCATATATGCACTGATTTATTGTTCACACGCCAAACACTTTTGGGATGAAGCTCAGAAGTGGTTTGCCTTCCACGACTTCACTCGCTTACTTGGTCACGCGGCATTGTCAGCGCCCCAATGTTCTCGGATGGTGATAGAGCAGAGATAGTGTTGATCATGTGGTCTATTTGGCATTCCCGAAATAGATGGACCCATGAGGGCGAACATGTTGATTTGGCAAATTCATTACGAACTATCTGAGAAAATTTGGCAATCCTGGAGCTACCACAGGAACATGCACTCACTAGTATAAAAATGGGTAGCCACAACTTTAGTTGGTGGAACACCATTTTCAACCAACGCCACCACTATTTTTTTCAAATAGTGGTGGCATTTTGCACGTCACCACAAATTGGCCCATTTAGTTAGTGTTGGTGTTGCCTTTTTTCTAACACACCACAAATTGGCCTATTTGTATTGACCGGGCACAATCTAATGCTTGCGCTGTATTTCTATCAACGTCGTAGGTAATTAATTTAGTGTTGGCATGGTAATTCCTGGTACACCATAAATAATTTTGAATCTTTTATAATCTAGAGTATTTTTATTGTCTTTTGAGTGTTTTTTACTTTTAAGTTTGTTTATTGTTTTTAAGTATTTATATAATTTTGACTCTTTTATGTTTTTGAGTCATTTTTTTAACTTTTATAATTTTGAGTCTTTCCATTATTTTGAGTTTATTTTTTTTATTTTATTTATTTTGCCTCTTTTTTATTTTTAAGCATTCTATTATTCTAAATCTTTTATACTTTTGAGTCTTTTTATAATTTTGAGTCATTTATTATTTCAAGTATGTTTATTGTTTTAAGTCTTTCTATTATTTCGAATCTTCTATAATTTTGAGTATGTTATTTTTTAGTATTCTATTTTTAAAAAAATCTTTTAAATTTTTGAGACTTTTATTTTTAGAATATTTTAATTCTTAGTTTTTTATTGTTTTATATCCTTTCTATCAAAGGATGCATTCCAAAGCTTGCCACCGCATTGTGTGACTTCTGCTCACTTCATTCACTACTATCCATTGAAAATATTTGAATACCATGAAAGTTCTAAACACAGGAGCTAACTGCAGTCCCCTCCACATTTTCTTATCTGGGCTTGGGACTGACAAAGGCAGTGTTAAACTACAAAACTACTAAACACAAAAAAATAGCAAACACCACAACCAATTATTCAGCTAAGCAACAAGCCACAAAATCAACCAAGGGCAGTATTGGCACGACACACAATTGGCAATAAATATTCACACAATGTTTTTCATAAGATCATAACACAGCCATAGTAAAAAATCACTTGGAAACACCGTTGAAATCATGCTTGCTTCACTAGCAGAATCACAACTCAAAATCACGGTTCAAATCATGTGTGTACACACGAGCAGAGACACCGCTCACAACTCACAAGAGCACAACCAAAGGTTCAAATTACACAGAAACAAAGAGCATCATACGTAATGGGGATTAAAAATTGAACACACAGAAGGAGTACTAAAGACCCAATGAGGGGCCGCGGCATCGAAGACAAAGTAGTCATACGGCGTCTAATCCATACGGAACACACAACATGGACAACCTGCTGAAATGAAAATAAAGGTGAATCAAAGAAACTAACCACACAACATGGACAACCTGTTGCATCTAGGAAGTGAAGAAGCTCCATTCCTGAATACAAGTAAAACTGCATATTGTAAACTACCTGATTGTTCAAAATTAACTAGCTAGTCCTGTTAAAGTAACTAGATAATTGCGGCCACGGGGCGCATACTCATACAATGAGCTCCTGCAGCCGCATGTCTGGTACAATCTATCACATCACTCATCTCAAATATACCACTGGCTTCAGTGATGTTATAGTACAAAATGACACTGAAATAGATATACATTGGTACTGAGGTACACATAACTTCCGCAAGAGTTCCAACACACAAAACCCAGTAGTAAAATCACCATTGGAATGAATAAAATGTACTGCTGCAAACAAAGACATTTATCTCTGAACTATATATGCTAACCATATCTTACAACAGATAATCAATTCAGAAACACAGCAAATGCTAGTTAACATCCAAAAGAGGAAAATAGAGGGGAAGACGGGCCACATCTTTAAAAAGGTGCACAACAAAACCATTTATCATGCACAGAAACTAAACACTACATCAGCTAGATTTCAAGTCTTGCATGCACAAAACTAATTAACAAGCTAACCATCTAAGTAAACTAGAATGCCATCAGCCACAAAATTTAGAAGGTGAATATATATATAATACAAAGGAGGTAAATGCAGCTCCCTCCACATTTTCACATCCGGGCTTGGGACCGGCAAAGGCAGTGTTAAACCACACCAATCATCATTCAAGCATACAGGCCACACCATCAAGCAAATGCAACATTCACACAGAGTCACACACGTAGAGAGTCAAGCACACACAGAGTCACACACACAGTCTAGCCACACACAGTCAAGCCACACACAGTCACACACACAGTCAAGCCACACACACACACA